TCAAACAAGCGGTTACATTCCATAAGTGGACGTTTAGGTTGATTTTAATGATTGATGAGCATGAAAGCACACGAGCATGTTCAGGTTAATAGGCAGTCAAACCAGGGTTCACGTTAACATGCAGTAACACCTGCGTGATTTTACGCTACTTTAATTAAAAAAAGGTGCAGCCCTGATATGTATTTCTCACACCACTGCTGGCAGAAGAGCCTTCACTGCAGCAAACTACAGTGCCCCTCTAGACAGCACTTTAGCCTACTCTTCCACAATGGCCAGACGTCTTGTAGTCGGTGGGTGTATCCACATTTTACCCAACCACGCGCGACCTGCCGATTGACTAACCGCGGTGTTCCCCCTTTATACGGTGGTCGTAGACCTGGCACTTGAGAAACTCTCAGCAGCGCGACCACGAGGGAAAGCGGCGGCCTTGCGGAGGCCTTCGTCCAGCGGTGGATAGATTCTGGCTGACAATGAACGAGTCCGGAGAGGACGTCACATCGAGGAGACGGAGCTATGAAATTAGCTCGTGCGTTTCGCGTGTGCCAGGTGGCGGCTTTTTTGGGTGGGCTTTCATCCGGCAGTGCATTGATCGTGGATGATAACCATTTCATCTCCGTGCCATCGCTCTTCATTAAAATTATATAACCAGAGTAAAAGAGACATAAAAAATTCCACCAGCCAGGGGAGAGACAGTTGGCTGCTAGGGAGGGACACCAGATGCATTTGTTTATGTTCATTTCCTCCCGAAAGGAGGCGATCAGATGTTCTGGAGCTGCGAGTCTGTGCACGTTATAAAACCTAACATTAAACTTTGCACGGGCTTATTTTGCTGTGAAGCACTGCGGATGAAAAAGGCAAACGTACGCAGAACTCTGTTCAGTCTGCACACAAATTATGTTTAGTCCGTAGGCCGACTGGCATTCCAGACTGACATTATCCAGCCAGTATTTGTTCAAGCAAGTAAACGCTGGGCCAGTTACAACTTTCTGGGTCTCAACCATTTTGGTAATTGCAGCCCCACAATTAAGACCAATGGTAATCATGCCACCCCCTGCTCTCCTCCCCCCTGGGCAATAACCAGGGCTGCCACGGGGTTCGAACCACCATCCTCTGTAAAAAGCGGCAGAGGTGCTACCGCTCAGCCATGCCACCATCCCAGCGACATCGCTGGGCCCTTTTTCCCCACAATCCGCAATGAATGAGGCTGTGTGCCCTGCCACTCTACTCCCTCCATACCCTCTTGAGAAAGAAATCCTGAAAAATATATATTCAGAGCTCCATTCTGTCTTCACATTTAAATAAATAAAAAATATGCTTAGTCCATCAGCCTATTGGCTTTCCAGTCCAATATTGTCAAGGAAAATGTGTTTGATCGAGTAAATTTTGCACCGGTTTTGGCCTTCTGGGTCTCATCAGCAGTCAGGCTTGTTAAACAAATGCTGACTATATGATATTGGTAAGGGCAATCCATATAAACTATGTGACATCGTTCAAAGAAAAAAAAACAAGACCGTACACAAACTCATTATGCGTTTCCATGGAGCATTGTGGGTGTAGAAGCAAATATAGTTGAAGTTGTATATTTGTGTTTATTTTTAATAGGTGGCGGTTCAGAAAATGACTATTCTTTTCTGCTCATAGGCCAATTTCCTGTAACATTGCCGATTGAAAATGTTTTTTTTTTACTAGGGCAGTGTTGACGAACACGTTGGAGTTATCCGTGTTTGTTTACCAATGCTAGTGCAGTATTACCAAATCTCTTCTCCGTCAGACTAGCCGTTTTTCATGTTGTGAAATAAAAGTTCCTCTCGACTCTCCCAGAAGCTAATTTAAGCCCCGATGACCTTTGAGAGGTCATCAGATACGGACTGCTACTTGCCAAAAAAATGTATTGGGGGAGTTGTGGGGGGTCGCTGTTACAGTTGCTGAGTGGGCCAAGCTCAACAGCATTGCTCCGTGCAGACACACGCGTACCAGGCACATGCAAGCAACCCTCACAGACACACAGGCATGCATGTGCTGACACCGGGAAGTCATGCGGATGTAAGTCCCTGTAAACGGAATGGGGGAAGTGAAGTTAATTTACATGAAGGTTCGAGGAGGAAAAAAAAAGACTAAAAATTAAAGATACAGCCCCGCAATGACTTTCTCGGGCCAGTGCTGGTGGAAGGGTCCCCCCACTAGAAGGTGGGGGCCCCTAAAGAGGGTATTTGGCCTACTCTTCCACGCTGGCCAGACGTCTTGGAAAGGGGCGTGAATATACACACTTTACACCACCAGAAGCGATCTGCCGATTTACTCACTGTGGTTGTAACCAGTTATACTGCTGGGTGGGCAGAGGTGGAGGAATTCTACGAATGGTATTAAACAATATTGACAATATCACGTTGGCTTTTACAAACTGCAAAATGCTCATGTAAATGCAGGCGTGAAGATTTCACAAAAACAAGGGGGTGGTTTATATTTTATTATTTAGCCTCACAACAGAACTAGGTGTCTACAAGCCACATTGCACTGCATACATGTAACCGAGTTTAGAAGCATCTTCCACGTGGGAGAAACTATAATAAGATGTCCCACAGACACACCCTTACTTACTGCCCTGACATACATACCATCAAGCTGTACACACACAAACACAGAGTTCAAATATATTTGTTTATAAATTTGCGGATCCTTTAAAAAAATTAAACTGAACGTGCGCTACCCGCAGTTTATTATTTCAACGTGTATGTAATGTGCTGCACAGTATTAGGTCACCATCGAATGGCGAACATCTTCACCACCCTTCAATGACCTGGGTGGTGAAGTACGAACCATATGACCCACACGGCATGGGGAGGCCCTCGTCCAGCAGTGGATGGACAAAGGGCCTGAATATGCGCATGTACAGAGACGGGTGACATACTACAGCACAGCATGCAGTCTTAGTACAGTATGCGGAACTAGTTAACACACAGGATCAGTATCTGTACGAACTAAAATTGGTGATGCTCATCTCCAGTCGTGGAAACTCCTATGGATGGGGGGGGCAGTTTATCCTAATAAGTACGAGTGACTTGCAGTTTTTTTTTATTGTAGTACTTGGGAGAAATGATGGGCTGAGTCAAGCCCCAAATGAGTCAAGAGCTTTTACCACACATCCAACCGGCTATTATTAGCCAAGGGGCGGTCCCACAAATTAGGCAACCTCAGTTTGGGAGACAACGACCAAATCACCAAAAATGTTCCTAATCTTCTCAAGAACTCAGAAGCCAAGCAGGGTTGACGTCGGACAGTGCTTGAGTAGGAGAACACCACGGTTAAAAACAGGTGTTATAGGTTGCTGCCGTGGGCCTACGCGGTCAGCAAAGGGCAGTGCAGCAAAATTAATTATTGTACTCTGCAACGAACTTAGATATAGAGAGCCTCGGTAACATGGAAGGTAGCATACAGGTGGCGCACGTTCAGTTTAAATGAAACGAAATGCAGCTTAATACAGGAAAATCGGGAGGTTCTACTGGTTGGCACTCGGGCTCAGGTGTAAAAATGTGTGGATTAGGTATGACGATCGTCGACTCCAGGATTCAGTTTTCAACTCATGTCAAGAGTCTCGGCACCATTCTTGACCATAATGTCGTTTGATCACCACGTGCAAAATAAAGTCAGGTACTGCAATTTTCAGATCAGGGCTCTACGACACATTCGGCCACTATTGAGTCATGACATAGCCAACACGGTGGCGTGTAGCGCAGTATCGACAAGGCTCGATTATTGCAACTCACTACTCTACGGGACGTCTGGCAAAAACATTAGCAAGCTGCAGCGTGTACAAAATTATTAGGTACGTGTTGTGACGGGTACTGCAAGATCTGCCCATGTCTGTCAGGTGCTCACCGAGTTGTATTGACTTCCGGTTGCTGAACGTATATATTATAGGGTCGTGCTGATTACACACAATGTGCTTGCCACAAAGGAACCACAATACCTTGCTGATCTCGGCAAGGAGCATAAACAGTCACGCAAAATCCGGTCATCCTCAAAGTGGCTTTTGGCTAACCATCGAAAAATTATGGTCACCACATCGCGCGTTTTCCAATGCTCTTCCTTCCAATATTAGGAAGCCACTGGAGCTATGCTCTTTTAAATCTAAAATTAAAACTCATTTCTTGAAAACGGATTTGTGTGTTTAGTTTGTTGTCCATCTCCGATTAGCACGGTTGGCTACGTCCGGTGCGAAAGAAGTTCAGCATACATAACATACAATTACGACGATCCATCGCCTCCTCCACCAACCCATACGGACCACACTACACGTAGAGCAGCACCCTTTGTCAATCCACTGTAGCTCCCCCGCACCGTACGGATTGTGTGGCTGTGTGGAGGGAGGGGGTCATTTGACCATATACTTCATTAAGCTGAGCAGTGGGGCCGAGTGTGACGGTGGGAAAGCACGGGAATCAGAATCTGAATATTTATTTATACTTGAGGAATCCAATGAGCTAGAAAGTTCTTTTTCACAGATGTCCAGTCGGGGCAGGTCAGAACGTTACAACATCGAACAATACAAAAACACGATCGGAATGCAACGTATAGGAATGGTAAACTACTCACTTAAAATATACAACTAAACTTATGTTTTATCTTACCAGGTAAACCCCACTGAGCTATATACAGTAGCTCTTTTTCAGAAACGACCTGGCCACATATGATAAGCTTAAAGAAGCGGCTTATCATGTGGACATTTATGGCACCAACAAAAATCGAAATGCTGGGGGGGGAGGGGAAAGCACAGCACCAACAATGGAGTTCATACCCACTAACTTACGGCCGTTCCCCACCACGCCAAATTGCGCGGCATTATCATAAAACAAACACGCTTGGCAAAGCGTGCTCGATGATCCATCCAGGGGTGGGGGAACCTTTTTTTCTGCCAAGGGCCATTCGGATATTTATAACATCATTCGCGGCGCCATACAAAATTAGCCCGTTACATTCGGTCAAACATTTAATTAACTCACCCCTAATGCGATGGCGGGAACTGCTTCTCTTTGATGGAGGCGTGTGTTTCTGATCTTAGCCGGTATTGACGATGTTAGCTGGTGTTGATGATGTTAGCCGCTGTTGATTTTTAGCTGGTATTGATTATGTTAGCTGGTGTTGACGATGTTGTTGCTACTCGCAACTACTTTTCCAGGTTTGCTCTCCTAGATTCATTGAATTTCGAGTCTCGCCTGCGGTTTGCCTTGGCAGGGCCAGCAGACCAAAATGATTTCGCGGGCCTCATACGGCCCGCGGGCCGGACGTTCCCCCACCCCTGACCCATCATCCCAACAGAGAGATCTGACGAAACCGGGGGGAGGAGGGGGGCATACGGGGTGACGACTTTGGTAGCAGGCAGTCGTCAGATAATGAATATCAAATTCTCGACAATAGTCTATAGAGAAACACCAACGCGGTAGCCTACAACTAACCACGACTGCAGTGTCTTCGTACTGTGAACACACCCGGCATTCAACAGCAGCGTCACGTTACAAACAGGTGCACTCACTGCGGTATGTAATACTTTTAAGAGGCGTACCGTCAAGTTAAGGTTCTTTCAAGACGCCTTGTCGGCGTGGAGGAGTAGGCCAAAGTACAAACGCTGTCCTTAAGCTCCGTGTGGTATCAAGGGCCCCCCCCCTCTTCGTGAGACAGTGGCTCGAGCCAAGCTATTGCAGTGCTGCGCCTTTACCCAACCACAGATTCATGCAATGTACACAGAATTTCCCCCAACGCCTCAAACATTTCCATGTTCATTAAAACTCAACGCGACGTTTTATAAATCAACCCTCTTTTTTATATATATCGCGAATACCCAACAAAGAAACTCTAACGCATTCGTCGTCCGCTATATAATGGACCCTCGCTAGAGTTATATTATTTAATACTTGGCCACCTTTTAGGCGAGCTACGGGCCCCCTTGCAAATGGCAGAGCGATGCATCTCTCTCGTCCGTCCGTGCGTGCACCACGGCCAAACGAACGGATCGTCGCGAACGAATGCACAGTCGTATGCACATTTCGTCGCGTAAATGTAAGGCGCACAAGAACAATAACAACGATCATCTTTTTTTTTAAACCCAAAAAAAAACACGCGCGGCGAGATTCTTAGGTTTCGCGGCAGTTGTCGGCGGTGATATTGTCCAACTTGTTAATTTCTCTCTCCCGCTTAAAACATTCGCGAATCATATCCTTGACAGTACTTTAGTCTTTGCGGCTCGCGGCTCGCCGGGTTACGATGTGTGGTTCACGTGTATTTTTGTTAGATATATCTAAAAACAAATGTGTTTAAATGTTATTCCGCGCGCCACGTACCTCTCGTTGCGTTAGAATTTAGATGCAGAGCGTGCGCAGTGACGTCATTACGCACGGTGTAACCCGTCTGACAATGCGTGCGTGATGACGTCGCTACGAGCGGCGCAGCGCCGTGCTTACATTTGTACGCACGGCGTAACCCGTCTGACAATGCGTGCGTGATGACGTCGATACGAGCGGCGCAGCGCCGTGCTTACATTTGTACGCACGGCGTAACCCGTCTGACAATGCGTGCGTGATGACGTCGCTACGAGCGGCGCAGCGCCGTGCTTGCATTTGTACGCACGGCGCGATGGCGTCATTACGAAAGGCGTTACCCGTCGTGTAATGCGCGCGTAAATACGTCATTACGCACGGCGTAAACAACGATGACGTCGCGCGCAACGGCGTACCCCGTCGTCATCAGGCGTACGCGATGACCTGCCGACGCGCCACGAACCCCGTCACGTAAGCGTGCGTGATGACGCAATCACGCACGGAGACGGCTCCGGCGTGCGTGGTGATGTCATTACGCACTGCGCCAGCCTCTGTTGGCGGTGCCAGGGATATGTTCAATCTCGATTTGAAGCTTTCGTGGACTGCAGAGATCCATCCACTTTGGTTCTTTCGGTAAAGTCACGTCGGCAGAAATAAAACAAAATAAAACAAATCACGACGTTTCGATCACAACACAAGCGATCTTCATCAGGTGGAACAACCACAGCAGGAAAATTCTGAAGTCGGCGAGAGAGCCTCCGCTGTCTCTCTCTCCACCTCCTTTTCTTTACCTATGTAGCGCCGTTGCCAGGGCGCTGTATGTGATTTTACTTGCCACCACACTCATTGGCCGATAGGGGGCAGCCGGGAGGTTTAACGGGATGTGTTCAGTTCAGTTTATTTTGGTATAGCCATGTGAGCCATTCGGCTCTTGAGTCGGGTGCAACCACAACTAACAAAAAAAACACGAACAAGAAAACATCTTAAAGTGACTATGTGACTGTGCAAACAGAAACTCCATGGAAAAAACAGCAAAAAATATTCCTGAAAAAAAGCACCGTACACCAACGCTGTGTGCAAAAAATCCCAGTGGGATGCAAGTCAAACAACAACAACCACAAGCAAACTTAGATTGAGGCCATCAGTCTAACTCCGTACTACAACAAAACAAACATGTCCAAACCAAAAAACGTTTTCCAAATCACCAAAAAATAAAGCCATAATTGCAACGTAACAGTGATCACAAGGACTGTGACCGAATGTGTACAATAAACTACATAAATAACATGTAACACCAAATCCTAGAGCCATAGCTGGCTGCATGAGTTACTCCACAACAATAGAAGCATCAGTCGGAGTATCAAATTTTTCAATGCACCTTTAAGATCAGCACGCTAAATCAAAATACAGATAATACTTTGCAGCGTCATCCGGAGCAAAACATTTTATTTTATTTTACGCCAATGAATAGCAGTGGCAGCTAGGGGTGTACAACTCCTCTAGAGCAGTTTTGAGAGAAGATCTCATTGGTAGCGATTCAAGTTGCAGTTTATTGGCAATAGCATTCCAGACCCTGGGGGCATCAATAGCAAAGGCCCTTCCTCCAGTTTTTGTACGGCAATAGGGAATGTGAAGCTGGTAAATGAGCGAAGACCTGAGGTCAAATTTGTTCTTTGAAACAGAGAGGAGATCCAGCAGGTGGTCTGCGGATTTTTTTGTAAGTACATCGTGAATAAATAAGATCTGGTGCACAAGCCGTCGAACATTAAGAGATGTTAAGTTTGACCCAATGTAGAGATCACAGTGGTGAGTCCTATATGGGCAGTTCAATGAAAATCTTAAGACCGAGTCATAGATGGAATCAAGCTTTTTCAGTACAGTACTTGGGGCTGATTTATACACGATGTCACAGTAGTCAAGTAGAGGCAGTATGGTAGCTTCTATCAATTCCAAACGGAACATTTGGGAGAAGCAGTGCTTGTGTCGATACAGAAAACCAATTTTTATGTTTGTCTTTTAACCAATATAATCAATGTGATCTGCAAAATTCAGTTTTGAATCCAGGATGACCCCAAGATACTTATAGATCTTGACTTGCTCTATTTGACAATTATTTAAGGAATGTAATTGGGGAAAAATAACTTCCTGCTTTAGTCCTGGTGAGAAGCATAGCACCTTGGTTTTGGAGGTATTCAGGACTAGTTTAAGAGCAACTAGCTGATGTAGTTTGTTGAAATCACCCTGTAGCTTAGCAATCACGTCATCCGGAGAGCGGCCAGCAGTAATCAGTATCGTGTCATCTGCGTGGCGGTTAACCGAAAGTAACCCCCCTGGGTATCTCGTGACCGGAGGTGGAGACCCCAGACCCCCAAGGGGTGGGGGCTGGGGGCTAACGGTTAATTCCGGACCCTTCCAGAACCATCTGGAAGGTTCGAGAGGGGAGGAGTGGCTAGGGGCGGGGTAAGCCCAAACTTGTGTATAAAAGCCGGTCCCCTCAACGGGACCGGCAGTGTTCGTCCACTCAAGACCCGAAGACGCCTGAATACTAGACCAACAGCTATCTATACTAACACGAACCACCGGTCATGATCAATCCACTGCTGGTGGACGAATGTCTCCCCGAGATGCTCACCTGGCAGTGGGGAATGCGCGACTCACATTCAGATGACACCAACCACTTCAGATTTAGCCAGGCACACGGTTCACACTGCCAAGCACAGTTTACTGATATGTACGGTCGCAATATATGTCTATATAACGGTTAATGTATGTCCTCCAGACAGTCTCGTCCCTTCACCTGATCAAGGCCGCTTGTATTGTGGCCAAAACGTCGTGAGAATATTATTGTGTTATTTTATTTTATCAATTTATTATTTTATTCTCATTCTACGTGACTTTACCGAAAGAACCAAAGAAGATGAATCCTTGCAGTCACGAAAGCTTTAAATCGAAATTTAAATATAAAAACTGTTAATATCTTTTCTGTTACTAAAGGTAACCGATTAAGATAAAGGTGTAGCGCTGCAATTTCGTGCTCACGCCAGAGCTCAAGAGCCTCCACTAGAGGGCTCTAGAGGGGTCTCTGGGGGCGATTTCAAGTTCTGATACACACGTATACAACTAGATTTGAAGCTTTCGTGACTGCAAGGATTCCTACTCTTTGGGGTTTTTTTCGGTAAAGTCACGTGCTTTCGCTACGTTGTCTCCCATCTGAAGGACGCTTGTGTTGCGCCCGAAACGTCGCGATTTAATTTAGTTTTCTAGTTTTCATTTATCTTATACCTACGTAAAAAAACACAAAGAGTACGTATACAACTGCGTGGAACTACACGTCTCTGCCAGCTTTATATTTACAAATACACGCAAGTCACTCGAGACACGCATTGATGGATGGATAATTTATTCAACCAATTTACCAATCAGTAACCCAATAACATGATTAACACCAAGCACCATTTAGTTGGTTTCTTGTCAAATGTAGATTGAAAACGTCCCATGTTATAACTTTCAGACTAAAACATTTTGATTAATTGCATGCGTTTGAAATTTCACGTTTTACATTTTACCCTTTCGCACCTAAAGAGAAGCGAAAACACACATTGTTGTATCCATAGTACCGCAGATGTCATTCTGGTGCTTTCATGCATAACGGTAATAGTTTTGTTCATGAACCAAATGCTAAAACTTTGGCACAGAGGTCAGGGAGGTCATGGAAACCACGAGTAAAGTCTGAACTAAAATAATGGAAATGGCCCGAGACACAATTGTTAGTGCTTCCTTTATATGCAACACCAATGTCAGATTTGCATTTCCAGCACACGAAACGGAGCGGTACCAGCCAGCACCGCAGTGGCCGTGGTCGGGGCAAAGTGGAGGGGGGAGGAAGAGGACATGAGGTGCATCATAGGCTTTACCTATGCACGCCGGGTACCCCATATTGTATTAGTTTTTTTTTTATCAATTTAAAATACCACAACTTATACTACTTGTATTATGCACCAAGTGTATGCTTTTAAAAAGATTAACGGGTTGTTTTAGCAGGTTTTTTTTAATTATATGGTTTACTCCCCCCCCCCCCCCCCACCTTTTTTCCATGACATATCAGCGAGTTATTATTGGAATCGCTATTTGTATTCCTACACCTCTGCTTTTTTTTGTTTAAGTAGCAAAATCGTAGCCTTAACTATGTTCCAAACCCTGAATAATAATTTAATGTTATATACGGCCACATGCTAATATATAAGTACCAAATCCTATATGCCACTTACCAAGCAATAAACCCTCAGAAGATTAAAAACGGATAAACAATAAAGAAATGGCACAGCGTAGGTGCGCAAATTAAACATTTCTTTCTAAAAACTAAACATGCATCGGTTACACAGCACAGCAGCACTCTTCGTTTGAGGTTAGGTGGGAAGTGTTAACAGGAGGATCAATCATGTTATTTTAGATATTGTGGAATGGTGGTGGTTGTGGTAAAGTTGATTCTGAAAAAGGGGAAATGTAAAGTACGAGTGTAAAGGGGAATCAAAACGGAGCAGTTAATGGGATTTGAGCAATAAGGCGGAACTACATGACAGAAGCTTAAAGATCGCCAATGATGAAAAGGGTCTGTCAGTTATGAAATTGAAAATGAGTATGAAACTACCTAGATAGTAACCATGCTGCGATGTTTCAGGCATTGTGTTTAAGGATAGATAGATATATTTTACAACGGTTATTTAAAAGTAAATATTTCTTGGTCAAAAGCGCATCTCACAAATTAGGCCAGCGTTCACCAAATTACAGCATCATTGCGCATCAGATATTGGAATGCCGTACTGTGCTCATACTTGGTCAGTCATGCAATAGCGCCTGAATAAGATATATTTATGCTGCAGTCTGTACTGCAGTTGTTTTCTTACCAAAGCAATCTGAAGTCTAGTAGTTAATAAAAAAAATATGGATAATTAATCACCGTTGTAGCGATGGGTTATATGCTGTTGTATATGAAGGTTCAGTAGTAGCTGTTGCAGGTACGTTGTGTTCAACAACTCATGCTTAAGCAGCTGAATTGATCATTTTCAGTGTTTGAGAAACATCGCCGAAGGTCTGACCTTCACACACATTGCTCACAAACATCTCCACAAACGAGTATGTGACGTTTCCCAGTGATTTGATTCGATTCCAAATGGCACTCGCGATGCTTTTCAATGCACTGCCCAACAACACCACGGGGGTAGCGACCACCAAAAACAATGCGGAAATCCCGAGAGCTATAACGAAAGAGATGACATTGTACACAAAATAGAAGAACATGCGGCTCGTGAAATCAGCAAGGGTCATGAGAACCGAGAGCCCTTTTCCATGATAAATATCTTTAATAGCTTGGGAAATCAAAATGCCAACGGCTTTGAAGCTGCGTATTCCATTATTTTTCACGGATTCTGCGATGTTTCTTGCAACGTCTTTGACTTCAGCTTGAACTGCAAAGACAGGGGTGGGGGGGGGGGATATTTTGGACAAAAGCACAAGTGCTGTGTTACGGTATCATACAGCAGCAAAGACTCTACAACTTTAGCTATGTTTTACTGGTAGGAATCTCCTGGTTACACCAGCCCACAGGGGATTGTGTCCGTTCGTCTGTCGTGCACCCAAAAATGGGAGGGGTGGGGCTGGGTGGGGAGGGAGGGGCTGGGTGGGGAGGGAGGGGCTGGTCACCCCGTGGTGCCCTTATAAAACTCAACGTTTAACCTACTCACGCCGGCTTGTGCCCGCCCACAGTCGGGAATATTTGCGGAATACACCACGCCGCCGTTGACCCTGGCCATTGACCGAGCAACCCAACGTTCCTAGCAGCTCCCACCACAGGAATGTGTTAGTTCAGTTAATATATGCGTTTATTGAAATACCCAATACACGTACGATACATTTTCATTAAAAAATAAGTGATGCTGTACAATATCGATGCTTACTTTCGTTGAACAATTTTCCCACTTGAATTTTTTTTATTTTTTCAATTTCACTTTCCAATTCTTGGTTTTTTTTCTGCATCTGAAAGCAAAACCAAAACAAATGCAAATAACGATTAATAGCTGTTAAGTGTCGAGATGCCGAGATGTTTTTTACGATACAATGCAATACAGGACTCAAAATAATCCACGACCCTACAATTCGCTAATCCCTGTAATTTGCCACTTACATACTATTTCACTTCAATTTCTATCACAATCAGTTCCCCACGACGTAATTGTATTTATCAATGTCATTGTCTTGTTTTTTTGTGCTGTTGCAATGACCCATGTGGGATGAGAAACTTACCTCGCGCGTTATATACATCAAAACATTTTTAAAACAAAACTCTACAAAGTCAGTCTCAACACACCGTGTAGTGTGGCTATTTCTTCAATTACAACTCTTTCACTGCAGAAATAATGTTAACAACAACCGTTCTACGTGACTTTACCGAAAGAACCAAAGAAGATGAATCATTGCAGTCACGAAAGCTTTAAATCGAAGTGTGCCAACACTACACTCACACAAATGCAACCGTTCAAACGGCTATACACATACACACCAACCACAATGAAGACAAACACAACTAATGCTCAACACAACGACAACCACGGAGATATTTCCTTGTGTGCAGCCTTGTTAAAGTAATGGCCGACTTAAGACTTCTCAGGTACCACTCGTACATTCTTGAGGAAATTTACGCATTCCTCTTACGTAAATTCCGTGGGGAATTGGAAATTCGAAAAGTCGTGGCCTACGCAAAAAAATAATGACTGTGTAAAGCCATTCGTTACTCGGGAGACGTGGATTTCTGATCGATAATAACTTCTGATGTTGCCGCTGCCTATTTCCAGGCACCGTCTGACTCATGTAAGGTTACTGTATTATTTTTTGGTGCAAGGATGGCTCTTTAACACAGCCAGTTTAGCCAGTTATGATAGGTGGGATCCTAGAATTGATTGAGTATGTTGGAAAATAAACTTTAAGAAAAAGCTCTGCATAGGTCTTAACGACAGTGCCCCAATTGGCTGGAATTGTCACCGGTTTACTTTGAATTGGGTGATTTCCATTGCCAATTCGCAGCAAGCGGTCTGAGAATTTTCCTGCATGAACATCTCCCTGCAGCCTCACACATTGGTTTGTGGTCAGACTCAATTTATGGACACTAGAACAGAGATATGATGTATTTGAACAGGCCTTTATATTTCATCTCCAGGGGTTACCCTTGGAACAATTGGCAGTATTTGCCTAAAATCTCCAGAGGACCAATGTGACTCCCCCCCGTACATCTGTTATTGTCCCTCAGATCCTGCAAGGTGAGATGCAGTGCTTCAAGAGCCGCTTTAATGGACATCTCGTCCATGCGTCCCAAACAATTAGTTTGCTGCTCTGCAGGATCCGAGCTAAACCTGTGCCCTTGATGATGCGACACACCAAATTCTTTGATCGTTGCAAATCTAAGGGCAACTTCAAAGCCGAGTGGGCTGTTCTTTCACCAGTCAGAAGAGTTGCAGCAATTCATGAAGGAGGCAAAAGCAATGGCGATGTGCTTTTCAGATCTAATCTTGGCAGTAAATTGATCAGAAATGTTTAGCAAATTCCGCCTGGAGCATCCAGGAAGATAATTCCACCAGTGTCTCTGTCAACCATGTTCACAATTATGTTGTAGGCCACCGTCTGATCCTGTGACAACAGAAGTACAGTTTTGGAAATCTCCTGTGCCAACTGGGTGGCAATGTAGAATGGTTCCTGAAAAAAATCGCTGCTGAGCCTGTTGGCATCACCTCTTTGTGGCAGAGGAAGTCCAAGCTGCAAATGCTGCAAATATTTCCCGACCATAGACATTACCTTGTCCTCAATCAAAATTAGTGTGTGATTGAGCATGTCATTATTGTACTGCAAATTTACATTAGAGCTGTCCTGTCTAACCCTTTGCAGAATGTCCTCAGCTATATAGTGTTTGTGAGTTTCCCACAACAGCCTGGAATTGGAGAGAGAGCAGGTTATGAAAGGAACAGCAATCAGATTTCTCAATTTGAAGGCAGATCTGGTAGCGTTCCAGTGGTCATCATTTTCAAGAAGCCCCCTTCTCTGGAATGTCTCATGAAATGTTCCACGCCTTAGTGATGCATCAGAGAAGATTCCAGGATCAGGAACCGTTATACCACGTTTTCGTCTCTACCATGTTTTGTTTGGCTGCCAGTGTCCCGGCAAAGTAGACTTGTAGAGGAAGGATTTTGTGCTCTTTCTTGGGCATTGCCACCATTGAAGAAGACATGTTGACCTTTTTCCAAGTGGACACAAGTGTGTAACTGCAGGGTACTGCTCGTGAATTGGAAACTCCAGAATACTCTGCAATTCTTTGCAAAGAATATTCACCTGCAGGAGTTCTCATATGCAATACATCCCAATTCTGGAATTCATTGCCAACTTTGAGAATTTCAACCTCATTTGCAGTCGGGACATTAAAGCGAGGCTCATGCACACCAGCAGGTGTCCTGTCTGCTCCGATGACAACTTTCTGCTCATCTGTGGTCATGTTTTCAATGGCTGTTTTGAACAGCTTGACTTAGGGATTCTTTTTCATGCAACATGTCCTACAGAGCCATGCCCACATCAAAAATTTGATCTGGAATGTTGCTGTCGCTGTGTTTCCTATTCCTGTGTGCCTCCCATGCAAGTACATTTTCAGGCACTTGTGCTGCTCATTGGGAAGAGGCAGCAGGCAGGAAGACAATGTTGTGGTAGACCTGAACTTGAACCTTGAATTTTCCATACATATGTTTCAATGCCAATGTGATCTGCTCCACAGGATGTCATTTGGAAAGCAGAGTTGTATTTTCTGGAGGTGTCTAAGAAACTGTTTTGAGAATTGGAGTGAGTGCCCAACACCGATGACTTGGCCCCACATGTTACCTCGCCGTCTCTGCAGCGCGCGCCTTTCGTCTCCCCCGTTCCACTTTTTGGCCCCACATGTTATGCAGAATATTGCCGTTCCACCAATACTAACCAAGACACGTATTGAACGTCTGGGTCAGAGGAATGCTGCTTCCTTTACTTCTGCCAAATCATTGATCACATCGTAAAACACTCCGCTGCTGTTGCTGCTGCTGAACCATCGAACACATTGTAAAACACTCCCCGCGCTGGCTGCGGCCACGTCAAACCGGTCCTGAAAGGCCATCCAATCGCCGCCCACCGCGATGAATGGGCGTACGGGAGGTAGCCGACGGAGCTTCTGGCCACCGGACTCAATTACGGGCAAGGGGCGCACCCACCGGACTCACGCATGGAGACGCCGGGTTGCCAATTCGCGTCGGTAATGACGGCCGGATAAGGAGTCCCAGATTTTGACATGGCGGTGAAAGCCGGACGCACTTCTGGCACCAGTTGTTGTGTGGTGCACGACGGCTCGGGGGCAGATTTCTAGCCAAGGGCTTACGCCGTTTATTTAAACACAAGGGATAACACTGCACACCAGAGGTAGGTAGGCGTCCCTTACACTCGGTCCTTCACGCGGGCCTCCGGCTCCGTCTGTCCCTAGCCTCGGCTATCATCTTGGGCTCTCTCACTCGAGCCGGTACGGGGGTTCAGCCAACACCGCCCGACCGAGGAGAGCAGCACGCCACGTAACGTAGCCGGCTCTTGCAGACTTCCTTGAGCCCTACCCCTGGCTATCTCTTCGGCTCTCCTACTCGTAGAACCCGGACGGGGGATCAGCCAACACCGTCTGGTCGCGAGCAGGAGAGAGACCTTGTTCAGACGCTCACCATCCCGGGCTACCTCAACGACCCCGGCTCTCGTCACGGGGTCCCTCCCCCCCTTAAGTAGCTGCAGTGACATGACGTCACGTCGTCACACTGCTCTACATATGTCAATAACGCAATTGCTCAATCAATCAATGTTCATTTTGCGTGTTAATATTGCCCTCAATGAAGTCGGCATCAGTGCACATTGCAACAGAACGGGAGTGGTAACGGAGCATTGAACAAGACTAAAAACACCCGTCACGACCTCAGCGGCTAACACCGACTGAGCAAAATAGATTGCAACCGCACGCAACGAATATACAGCATAAAATATGTACGTGGTGAATAAACTTAATAATCAGTAAATAAACCGGTTTTTAAAACTTTTATGGTGTCAATTAGCCGTCATATTTTTCAACTGTCTTGCTTTTATCTCAGTCCCCAACTAAATGGGATACGCGACATTGTACTGTAAAATATTGAGTAAAATCCCAAAACCCATATGTTTACAAAAAAAATCCAAAATCAGGCGTGACAGTCAGAAATTCAAAAACATGAACCGAGATCGGGCGCTTACCTCCATGTATTTTTTTTCATTCTCAGAACCGTCTGGAAATAAAACAAATGTCGATGGCTCATGTCATTTCTTTTGGGATGTTGAACTTCTTTCACACCTTATACAAGGTACGGTGCGGTACCTCCAACATTGGAATCCAGTGTTCGGATAAAGGACTTCCCATGCTGTGTTAGTCATGGGGGTTTGTTTGAGCATACTTCACAATGTTGATCAGTGCGGGTTGGTATAAAGGAGGCTGCCATGACCGGTTGAGATATCATTTACCACCAATTTTAGACGTGGCCCAATAATCGAACTTAGGTCTTTGGCTTGTGCCACCGTTTTCCTTAAATCCGTGTCATCTATACCTAAAATATTCGTGCCGAGAGGTCATCATTTTTTGGACACCGCATCGCGCGCTTTCAGATGCCCTTCTGCGGCCGTTCAGACAGCTCTTCCAAGATTAGGAAGCCACTGGACCTAAGCACTTTGAAATAATCAAGATTGAAAACTCATTTCTTTCCAACTGCTCTTTGTGTTTAGTTTATTGTCCTTCCCCGGCCCCCTCTGATTAGCGCAGTTGGCTACGCACGGCGTGAAAGAAGTTCAACATACATACAGCAACATCAGCTATACTAAAAATAAGAATTCCATCTTGACCTTAGATCACAATAGAATTGTTTTACCGGGCGTTTACATTTTTTTGTATATCCAGCGTTGAGGTCGGCGTGTGTCTTTAAGCCAGGTTCATGACGGCCAATGCGGATATCTAATCGGCCGGTGGACCCGCAACAAGCGTTTACGAAATGTCCGTGAAGACGGCATGGAGTGCTGCCTTACATCTCTGCCTTTTACATCCCACGGGCGCTGCCGTCGCTACATACAAGTAAAGGCTATCTCATACATTACTCTTGCAAGACGTCTGGCCAGTGTAAAATAGTAAAATGCTCCCTTGGGCGGCTCTCTAGAGCTCCCGCTTGTGAGGACCTTCCAACAGCATGGGCACATGAGAGGTAAATGTTCTGCATCTTTCTCTCATGAATTTAAAGTTAAAGCAATGTCAGGGGCCAGCTTTTAAAAGAAATTAAACTTTTAAAAAAACTATAGCAGCAGAAAGAAAAATGCGGCCTTTTCCACAGTAACATATCTCTACGTGGAAGTAAGAATACATATTGGGCCGGAAATATAACAAACCTGGAGATGCCCTCTTCCGACCATTGTTGGGAAACATCTGAAAAGTAAAATGAATTGCATCTTGGTTACACCTTTCATCAATACAAGGAATATAATTATTGTGTAATAAGGTAAAGGTGGTGCAGCCCCTTCATTTACTTTCGAATGTTACTGCTTGGGGAAGGGTGGAGCCACAGGAGGGGCTGGGGGGGGGGGCTGAGCCCCCCTTGAAATTTTGGGAAAGTCGGTAATCGGGATAACCGGATATCTGGCTGCTGCAAAATGCTGCAGGCTGCCACCTTGTGCTGCCCTGCAGGCTGCTTGAGCGGCAGCCTTTCGAACTTATCGAACTTATTAGCCACATCAGCGGCTCCGACCCATTAATAAACTCCGCGTTCAAATCCAATAAAATGTGTTTTATACATTTGTGGCGCCAATTGGAAAACAAACAGTGGATATCTCAGAATATTGAAGTCAGCCCCCCCAAAGTCAAAATCCTGGCTCCGCCCCTGCCTATACAGGCTGGGAGCACAAACTGAGATCTGTAGATTTAAATTCCATTATACTAAACAACATTATAGTAAACGACATTATATACTAAACAACAACTCTCCTGAAGCCCTCTCGGGGCTAGCAGATCGACGTTGGCATTTAGCTCCTGAAAATATTTCCACATGCAAGAATAGAATTATAATATAAAGACAACGTGCCCTCTTCTAAACGGTGTAGGGTGGAATTTATATCTTGAGTCATTGGTTGAATTTCCAAACATCTCTGGTGGAAATGTAATTTCTTAAATATTTACTCAGCCTTAAATGCTATTCAGTAAAATCGTCAGGTACACTTTTCATTAACAAAGGATCAGAAACAAACCCACACATTTTTATTGCTATTGATACATTCCAATAATAATGCTAGAAACGGGGAAACTCGAGCAATAACTAAGTGGGTAAGTTGAAACTTCATTTTAACCTATATTTTGTTGTAATAAAAGTTATAAAATGTGAAGATAAATGTAGGTGGAAGTATTTTACCTTGTTGTGAAATTGTCGAGAAGCTTGGAAGATGAACAAATGCGGCTGTGATCTGGACCGTCCGTGTACGCTCGAAGGCTATTTATACTCCCTGCATGGAAATTCCCGTAAGCGGAAACGTGCCATAGCCTCTATGATACTACCAACACTAAAGTCACCCACACCACTACTAAACTCGCCACACAAAACACCACTACTGCACTCACCTACACTAACACTAAACTAACCACAGCTCACCTACACCAACACTGCAAACCAACCGGCTACCATGAGAGATTCGTTCATGAGGCCATTCACATATACAAGCACAGACAATTTCAAACGAGAAGATGGATTCTGGCTTAGTAACCATTGGAAAGATGTTATAAACCATTTCGGTTCTTAATCGATTGTATTTTACGGTGACCTTCAGACCGCAGTCCATTCGCTGGCCTTGACTCTTAATACCTCTCACCACGGTTAATGGTATGGTTTACAACATGGAGTATAACAGCGCCTCGCAGCTGTCTCTCCCCCTCCTCCGTTCCGACCATGGATGAACTCGTCCGTCTGAACGGGGCTCGTAGCTATCCGTGGGCTAAAGTCGAGGGTAAGAATCCACCCATTTTTCGCCATATAGCATTGTGATATATAACGACTTATTGTTGGTAGCTTAGCTGATTGGAGAATATATAGAGTTTATTGATAACATTGAGGTAATTTATATTTTAGTTTTTTTATTGGTTTACTATATAGTATTCATTATATAGTGTAGTGTATACTCAGTTACTGTGAATAGCTCAGATGTGTAGGCTTTGACTTTAACATAGCCATTTCTGTGACCAGTCACAAGCTAATCACTCAGCTATTTCAATGCTAAATTCTATGCCAATTCCTTTGTCAAGGCACTTTGTTTCTTCTCACACAGCTTAAAGGTCGTGATCTGAACGTGGCTTTGTTCGCTCCAGCGCTGTCCTCCAGACAGTCTCGTCCCTTCACCTGATGAAGGCCGCTTGTGTTGTGGCCAAAACGTCGTGAGAATTTTATTGTGTCATTTTAGTTTATCAATTTATTATTTTATTCTCATTCTACGTGACTTTACCGAAAGAACCAAAGAAAGTGTATTATATTTAACTTCTTGGTTAATATAATAATTTTTTTTGTGGGAGGAGGCAGCTCTTTCTCATCTGAGAAATAATATCCAGAGAATTAATGCAACGGAAAGTAATTTAACATCACGGACACGGACAACACCCAGCTGGTGCTGTAAGGTGGTTTCCCCTAACAAAAGGGGAAGTTTCGAGGTTACTACATTAGGTTCGTTTTAAGACGTGGCAATATACATGGTGTCAATGAACTCTGTACCATGGCCAGGGGCGGAGCCAGGATTTTGACTTTTGGGGGGGGAGGGGGGCTGACTTCAATATTCTGAGATATCTAGTGCATGTTTTCCCAATGGGCGTCACATGTATAAAACACATTTTATTGGATTTCAACGCAGAGTTTTTTAATAGGTTGGAGCTGCTGATGTGGCTAATAAGTTCGATAAGTTCTAAAGGCTGCCGCTCAAGCAGCCTGCAGGGCAGCACGAGGTGGCAGCCTACAGGGCAGCACACAAGGTGGCAGCCTGCAGGGCAGCACAAGGTGGCAGCACAAGGTGGCAGCCAGCAGGGCAGCACGAGGTGGCAGCCTGCAGGGCAGCACGAGGTGGCAGCCTGCAGGGCAGCACAAGGTGGCAGCCTGCAGGGCAACACGAGGTGGCAGCCTGCAGGGCAGCACAAGGTGGCAGCCTGCAGGGCAGCACGAGGTGGCAGCCTGCAGGGCAGCACAAGGTGGCAGCCTGCAGCATTTTGCAGCAGCCGTATATCCGGTTATCCCGATTACCGACTTTCCCGAAATTTCAGGGGGGCTGAGCCCCCCCCCAGCCCCCCCTGTAGCTTCGCCCCTGACCATGGCTAGACTCTGTGCTTGAGTCATTTAAAAGGTCAGCTACTTATTTCTACCACGGGTCTTTTTTTGTTAGATCGCGTAAATGGCGTTAAACCTGCCACCACCCGACAAAGCCAATTAGCAAGGTTTGTCACGTCAACAGAACATTGTGGATTTGCTCTCCAACACACCGGTGTGCTGTACTAGAAACGAATTGGCATGTTCTGTTTACTTGACCAACCCTTACTAATTGGCTGTATCGGGTGGTGGTGGGTTTAATGACACATTTATATATTTATTAGCGATCTAACCTAAAAGAAACCCTGTACTGTTTTTTTCGGTGAAGTCACGTAGAAATAACAAAAGAATAAAATTATATAATAGCATACGGCTTTTCGATCACAACAAGCAATCATCATCAGGTAGAGGAAACACATAACCGCAGATATATATACAGACCTTAAGTAGGGGGAATTAACACAGATATACCAGGGGATACAGAGAGACGGAACATCACACCAAATCAAACAGGGTTTAGCAAATTTTGGAAACTATATAAAGCAACACAAACGGTCGGTTAAAACACAATTAACGCATCGTTTGGTTGAATACGCCGTTTCAAAGATTGTTAAATTGTAAGTTAAGTGTGAAATTTAAGATAGTGATAGAATACTTACCGTAGAGCGACCTTTGGTGGAGAGACACGCGCACAGTTAAGGAGTAAAGTAAATCTGTCCCGAGGCTTTAAGAAGGCCAGTGATGTAGGAGGGCTAAGGCTCAGACAATGGGACACAAATTTGCATGATATAAGTTGTCAGGCACACAGTTGTCAGGCACACCCAGAGATCGGGTGCAGCAGCGCACACTTAGAGGTCCCCAGGCACACAACCATAGATAGAGACAACACAGCGACACAAATCTAACTCAAGACAAAGGTAGACACACCAGCAGAGAAACAAAGACAACAGAATTCATACCTTCCCGTAGAGGCGGTTCGAACTTGATTAGGAGCTTTCGTGACTGCAGGAATTGCCCTTTGGTTTTTTTCGGTAAAGTCACGTAGAAATAATCAAAAAATAAAATTATATAATACCCTGTATTATGGATGATATTGGTCGCGCAAGCCTACGTGTTAAACTACTTGTTATTTATTGTCAAGTATGCTAGGGCGGCTTTACACCTCCGAGTGAGTTACCAGCACACACATTTTTCAAACATGTGTCCAACAAACATGTGTCCAACAAACACGTGTGCACCTCACCCGGCACATGGTACTGCTACTGCACAGCTTCGCATGTTATCACCGCCGCAGTTCGAGGCTGCGCGTTCCATAGCTGGGCAAGATCTCCCCAGTGGGATGCCTGTGGCTCACCTACAGCCCTACTAAACTCACCACGTAGCTCACCACTACTAAACGCCCTACACAGAACACCAATATTAAAGTCACCCACACAGCGCATCACTACTACACTCACCAACACAGATAAACTCACCACTCAGCTCTCCAACAAATACTAAACTCGCCACACCGCTCTCCAACACCAATACTAAATTCACCACACAGCTCACCTAAACAACTTCGTATGCATATATTTATATTCATAGTATTGTTGTTACTTCCACAAACTTTGTAATTTCACTAAGTATAATAAGCACCTTTGGGATGTTTCACGTGAAATTTGCTTTAGAAAGAAATAGTTTATCATGGGCATTATTATTTTGTATTCACCGCTCAAGAACATCAATGGGAATAGAATCCAGACATTATGAACATCGCATTTTACGAGCAAATACGTTAAAGGTTAAAAACGTCGATAAGCGTATTGCATTACATTTTTAAAATATAATTGTTAGCTTGGGAGGAGGCAGATCGTTCCGAACTAAGAAATAATATACAGTCAGTGGAACGGAAAGTAATTTGAGATCGCCGACACAGACAACACACAGCATGCGCTGTTAGGTGCTTTCCCTGAAACATGAGAAGTTTCATCGAGGTCAATGCATGAGATTCGTTTTGAGAAGTGAAAAACGTACCCATGGTGATAACTGCATACAATGGCTGGACTCTACATTCAAGTGTCATTCATAAAGGCAGGTCCTTATTAGTTGTCACGTATGCTATGGTGGGTTTACACCTCGGAATGGGCAGTCCTGGACACATTTTTTCAAAAACGTGTCCAGCAAAACACGTGTCCACCTCGCTCGGCACATGATAGGAGTTGTAAATAATTAGCTATTACCCATAAAAAAAACTGTGTACGATAGTGGTTTTCCTAACGAGGAGCCCCCCCCCCCCCCCCTGTAGTCGAACGATCAAATCTTACAACCCGACGAAATTACCAATCAGAGATTTGCCCCCTCATATGCGATCGTTGTGGATCAGGAATCGCGGCTAATTGGGTATCGATTCCACTTAGTCGATCCGGCAGCACCCAAGCTCAAGTCGATCGGACAAGTCATATTGTATTTTTTTTATCTTCAATTAAAATCCACGATTCAGAGCATACAAAACGGTATGTCCGATTTTTATGAAACTTGTTATAGTAGTGTATCGGCGAGTCCTTTTGGGACATGTTTTAGCGGGTTTCGGTTTATACCCGCAACCCTAGCTAGCATCACGGTTATTTAAATTATGGTGGGGGCCCTCATTTCACGTGACGCCCCAAATGACCGTGTGCTGAATATAACCAAGATCACTGCCGGTATATTCAACATGTATAGGGTTTGCTAAGAATTCAATCTCTACACAAATCTTACATTGTCAAAAGGGCAACAGGCTCACTGCTTCCCCGGAGGAATGCACGCATCACAAGCCACTATACCAACCCAAATGACCTTCGCAACAACACAACAACCAACACCATCATACAACAACCCGATGACCACGGCTTAACAGACTTCCTCCACCACGAACGCTGCGAGGGGAAAAAACTGCCGAGCAAAACCCCGAAGGCACGCCCGAAGCATCACCCGGCTCTGAAACAGAACACTCTCAGTGGATCAGTGCCGGCCACCCCGGGCAGGATCGGTCCCGGCCACCCCGAGCAAGATCGGTCCCGGCCACCCCGTGCCGGATCGGTTCCGGCCACCCCAGGCAGGATCAGTCCCGGCCACCCCGGGCAGGATCGGTCCCGGCCGTCCCGAGCAAGATCGGTCCCGGCCGTCCCGAGCACGATCGGTCCCGGCCGTCCCGAGCAAGATCGGTCCCGGCCGTCCCGAGCAAGATCGGTCCCGGCCGTCCCGAGCAAGATCGGTCCCGGCCGTCCCGAGCAAGATCGGTCCCGGCCGTCCCGAGCAAGATCGGTCCCGGCCGTCCCGAGCAAGATCGGTCCCGGCCGTCCCGAGCAAGATTGGTCCCGGCCGTCCCGAGCAAGATCGGTCCCGGCCGTCCCGAGCAAGATCGGTCCCGGCCGTCCCGAGCAGGATCAGTCTCGGCCACCCCAAGCAAGATCAGTTCCGGCCACCCCGGGCAGGATCAGTGCCGGCCACCCCGGGCAGGATCAGTGCCAGCCACCCCGAGCAGACTCAGCAGGCTCAGCAGGCCACTTTGAGCAGGATCAGTAGTGGACTCAAATCCCGCCCAGCTCAGTCTCCAGCACAGCAGCCGCCTCGAACAAGCCGAGGGGCGAAATGAAATCCCCCCCCCCACTCCCTTCCCTTGGTTCCCCTCGACGGGGTCTTTTATTAAATCACACAATTTGGCCCTTCCCCCATTTGATTAGCACGGCGTGCCCACGGCGAGTCCAAACCCCCGTGCCCACGAGCTAATCCAATCCCACACACCTGCAACCAATTTCACACAAAGCCACCCCCCGCAAGTCACTCGCTTTTCCCCAGTCAAAGAAACACCCTGCCACCCATAGCTATCACTCTGACTGCCACAAGTAGCCTGTTCGTTTAGTCGATCAAAGTACTGTGTTAAATCGCTGTTTAAAAAATATGTTTTTATTCTTAGAAATCATTGTTATGCCAATGTAAGATTTTATCATAGCTGCGATTCAGTGTATTCCGGTGTCCTATTCCATCTTTAACTTGACTGTGTCAATACTTAAGAATTTACCCCAGGCCAATAGAAATGGGCTAACATACATGACGCCATGCACTTAATCCCCATGTGACATGCCATGACAGAGTCTGACGCCACTGTGATCACTTGGTCTCTGAGCTGTGGACCTGTCAGTTGTTTCGTTTCGCACTCTCCTCCACATTTGGATATTTAAATTCCTGGTACAAGTGGCCCTTATGGATTACTATTCTGGCTGTTGTACCTTTGCCGGATATCCATGCGTTTTCCTTTTTGACATCCCAACGCTATTTTAAACTAGGGTTATTCCTTTGCATGGTGGCGAGATGTTAACTACCTCGCCTGGTATGGAGGTCGTGGAATCCATACCGCCTGTATATTTGGAGTTTCCATGTTCTCCACATTTAGAAACGTACGTTTAGAGTATTTGGCTGCTATAAATCTCCACGTGATAAGCCACTTCGTTGAGCTATCATTTGTGGCCAGGTCTCGTCTGAAAAAGAGCCACAGTAGATCATCAATTATCCGGTGATTTCGGGGGGGGGGGAGGGGGCGCCGGGATTTTTGAAAACGGCGGATAAGCACGCCATTATTTAAAATAGCTTATTTTTGCACATTCTTGCAAAGAATATGAATAGAATCTTGTAGGTGTTGTATATATTTGTTTGAAAATTTGTTTACAAGGTGAAATTAGCATAAAAGTGCAAATAGACGTAAATAAATATCCTGTAAAATATACTGTTTACTGTACCGTACTTACCACTGCAATCTTGCAGACTGCATGGACTGATGTACATACGCTCTTGTTTCAACAACATGTTTTTTTTTCATACATATGGTGCTGATCTTCGGATTGGTACAGCTTTTGGAGCGGTTTTCTGTCCCGGCGACTATTTTCGCCAGAGAATGTTGGAAGCCAGATAATCGTGCCGCTTCCATGTTTTGAGATTCCAGGGACGCACGGGACCCACCATGCAATTGTAGACATATCGGAAGGGGAAAGGGTTAACCTCTGCGCGTGTAGTTACTGCTTGTGCAATGTCTACATTACTCCAGCCATCCTGTCTCCAATTTGGATTGGGATTTCCAGTTGCTCTCGTGCACCCTATATTATGAGGCCAACCGTCATTAGTATGGATACGAGCTGCTAGAAATTGCTCAGCCAGAATAATGATGGCACCAATATCCTCGGAGGTCCTTTCTTTTTAAAAAAAACACCACAAGGTCTCATGGACTGATTTGAAGGGCCTACTTATGTGGCGCCAGGTCACATAACCCCTCTATCGTTCCAGGTAGTGTCGTGTTAGCATGATGAATTGACCAAATTTCTCACCTCTCTCTGGTTTTGCAGACCTATACTTTTTGCAGAAACCTTCATTCAAGTAATACCTTGCCATCAGGGCTGCTTCACTTTGTCATAAACCACTACACTGCATCTACACTACTTAGCCGTTGATACACCAATAGTGCCTGCCCTCCAAGCAATTTACTCAGGTTCACTGCCCAGTCTTGCACTGGTCACTTATGGCACTTGTTGTTTATGCCGGGTTGTGAAAAATTAGTAAAAAGTAATAAAATTTAGATAAAAAATAAAAAAATTGCTTAATTATCCGAATTTATGCTAATCAGAGCGTGGAGTGTTTGCTCCAGCCTTCTTGATTACTCTATCCGAGGGATTGTGTGGGACAATCACTACACAAGTATTAAAGCATGAAACATGCAGACCTGATTCTTTGCAAAAGGTATCTATTTGGTGTTTGGAAATCTTAACACCTGTAATATTGCCAGAAAGGGTAAAACCTATCCTTAATTTTCAACTTATCTCATATTTATAGCCAAGGCGTTTTACAAGGCTTATGATTGGTACAATTAGGGTAACTAAAAGTGATATGGTGAATAGGGATGGGGTATAGGGAGGGTGGTTAGTAGGTACCGGAATTACGGGGGTGTCGAGGGATGGAGGGAAGGATAGGCCAGGGAGAAGAGGTGGGGGGTCTTGAGGGAGGAGCGTAAACTCGACAGGCGGAGGGTGCTTTTCGCTGATTAATGTGTGTTGTTCCAGTGCAAGGGGGCAAGTAGCGAAAAGGAGCGGAAATGGTGGATTGTGCACAAGGAGACGGCGGGGGGGGGGGGGGCACGGTGAGGAGCTACTTCGAGCGATGATAGAAATGGCCAGAGTAGGGAGAGGTAACTGGAGTGGGGAGAGAGGAGGAGGGATGAGCTCTCCGTGTACGCTCTGATTTGCGCAGAGAGCGACGGCTCGATTGGATGGAGGGGGTTAGCCAGGGCTGGGGGGGGGGGCTTTGGATGGTGGGAGCGGGAGCGCAGGGAAGCACGGAGGCTGAGTGATATGCTGATGGTGGAGTGTAAGATGGCAGAGGCAGCGTCTGTTCGTGGAGGGAGGAAAAAGAGGGCAAGGAAGGGAGAGAAGAGGAGATCTGAGAGATCAGGGATACGGAGTCTCTAGTGAGCGGAGATTGCGGGCAATAAAGTGGTGGGGTAGGATGAGGCTGGGAAGGGGTGGACTGGGTAAGGTGATGGTTAGGGAGAGGAGGAAGTGGTCCGATGGAGGGCGGGGGTCGGTTACAATGGGGGAAGCCTCACAATCTGATATAAAGATGATGTTGAGGGTGCTGCCCGAGGAGTAGAGGGCGAGGGAAGGAGCCGAAGGTCGAAGGAGTTAGTGAGGGGAAGGAGGGTCGAGGCATTGGAGGGAAGCCTAAGATCCAGAGTGCAGTCACCTAGAAGAATGAAAGGGTGCGGGAGAGGGAGGACAGTGGAACGAAGACAGTCTAGATGGTCGAGGAAGATGATAGAGGGACTGAAAGGAATGATAGATGAGGAAGATGATACAGTGGGGGGAGTAGAAGGAGGATAGTTGGTGTTCTAAGGAGGGGAAGGATGGGGTGGAGGGGAGTGTAGGCGCAGGGTTCCAGGATGGAGGATTGAGCAATCCTATGCCTCCACCTTTGCCAACCCAACGAGGGTTGTGGGAAAAGGAGGAGGCGGGGGGTGAAAGGGCGGCGGTGTTAAAGGGGCCGATCCAGGTTTCTGTGATAGCGAGGGCGGTGAATTTAAGGGAGAGAAAAGCGTCCAAGGTGGAGGCAGATTTATTGCACACGGAACGAGAGTTCCAGAGGCCTAATGTGGGGGGAATATCAGTGGATGGCGGGGTCGGAGGGAGTCCCATGATAAAATGGAAGTCGTTTAAAGAGGGCATAGAAATGATAAGAGGACACGTGATGTAACAATGTTGCAAATATTTCTGATTGTGACAACCTGTTGCAGCTTTGCGACTGACGACGAGTGTGGTTTCAGTGATCTAGCTCAATAACATACCCCACGACTAAAAAAGTGGAAGTCCGAGACCATAGCATTAGTTTCATTTTGAGACAGATGGAAATTCCCAAGGCTGAACGAGCTATAAAAACACCTGCACCTCTGCACATTCACCACGCTCTTTTTCTTCAACGCCGAAAGCACTCTCAGCTTGCAAGCAACGAGAAAACGTCAAAAAAGGTGCGTTACTTTTAAATCGATGTTCAGTTTGGCGATAATAGAAGGGGATATGAGGCCGTACACACGACTTTTTTGAGTTTATTACTTCAATTATATTGAACATTAACAATTTAAAGATAAAGTTCACACAATGTGGTACAGAATTTTCTTGCACTTTCGATTGAAAACCTATTCACACTACCCAGACGCCGAGTGCCTCAATCCAACATGCTTAGAGGACATCTAATGCTTTTTATTTATTCATTGTATTGCATAAAACACTTTGGTTAGATCACATAAAAAAAATTCACTTTTTATGCACCGGTAATTTAAGCCATGTGATCGATCCTTGTTCACATCCGGCTTACAAACTCCCATTAATGTTCTTGTTAATGTTCTTGATAACTTCGCGTCGAGGATTGTGATGTATTATTCATGCAAACATTGTAACATTGATGGTAATACTCTTTGGTTTCATTCGGTAAAGTCACGTAGGTAAAATAAAACAAAATAAAAGAAAAAAATTAAATCACGACGTTTCGGAGGCAACACAAGTCTCCTTCATCAGGTGGAACAGACGCGGCGGAACATCAGTGTCAAGTAGACAGCTCAGAGACCGGGTCTATATACAGGTCAAGGGAGGGGGGAGGAGTCAGACCGGGATGTGGGTGGGGGGGGGGGGCTGAGCCAAACCGCTCCTTGTCACGCCACAGGGGGCTCGGGAGAGCGGTGGTGCAACAATTGCAGCAATGGAAGAAAGCGCGCTGCAAGGGTGCCAGTACAGCTTCATTTTTTGGAAAGCATTAGAAATGGCTGTATAGTTATAAGGTAGCTAAAGTTTGACATACAACCACTGGGAGATGGAAATGGCTGTACAATTAAAAGGGGCAGGTAATGTTTGACTTGATTTATAACGTCTTTCCAGTGGTTACTCAATTTGAAACCATCTTCTCGGTTGAAGTTGTGTCTGTGTTTGTAAATCTGGATGGCCTCGTGGACAAATCTCTGATAATAACCGGTAGGTTTGCAGAGCACCTTGGTATCGGAGAAAACAATATCATGATCACCCACAGCGTTGTAACAATGATCAGCCACGGCAGAAGAATTCGTTCTGCCGTGTTTCAAATCTGATTTGTGCTCGCGAATTCGGTCAGAGATATGTCGCTTCGTCTCCCCGATATAGCAGTCCCCGCAGGTACAACTCAATTTGTAAACACCGGGGTGCTGTAAGTCAGGAATAACATCCTTTACTGACGGGATCAGATCACGGATTTTGTGCACTGTGTTGAACCGGACCTGGATCTTGTGATTGTTTAGAATTTTGGAAATATTTTTAGTAACGTCTGCTATGTATGGTAACGTGATGATTTTGATCGGAGTGTCAAGTGGTTGTTTCTGTATGGTGGGAGAAACAGCTTGGAGGATGGCACGGTCAGAGTAACCGTTCATCTTGAGGGCCAGATGTACATGTTTTAATTCACTGGTCAGGTGGTGTTTGTCAGAAATGCAATGAGCCCTATGGATTAACGTTTTGATGAGATAATTCTTCTGAGTCGGGTGGTGGTGGGAATTAGGTTTCAAGTAGGAGTCTGTGTGGGTGGGCTTCCTGTAAACAGAAAGTCCCAAAGAGCCATCAGGCCTTCTCTCAAACAGGACATCAAGAATGGTAGCTTGCCATCTTTCTCCACTTCCATGGTGAATTTGATGAAAGGGTGTCTGGAATTGATGTGGTCCAGGAAAAGGTTCAAAGCTGGGAGGCCATGTGGCCAAATGGCGAACGTGTCATCCACATATCTCTTCCACAGGGAAGGGCTGAGGGTGGATGTCTGGATGGCGTCTGATTCAAATTTCTCCATGAAAACATTGGCTATCACTGGTGATAAAGGGGGAACCCATGGGGGTACCCTCATTTTGTTTGTAGAAGGTGCCATTCCAAGTAAAGTAGGTGTTGGTGTGGCAGTGCTTAACCAACACCGGTACATCGGGGTCAAGTCCATGTTGGACCAAATCTTCGATTATTGTGATGGTATCAGGTACTGGGACCTTGGTGAACAGAGAGACCACATCAAAGCTACGTGACTTTACCGAATAAAACCAAAGAGTATGAATCCTTGCAGTCACGAAAGCTTCAAATCTAGAATTGATGGCAATGTTTGAATTGCATTATTATATTGTGCTCCCTAGTAATCTGCAACACAACAGACGTTTCCCTGACTAAAACCTCACAGCAGTCTGGCTTCTCTCTCTCTTGCAAGTGTAGTAGTCGTGTATGGAGAAGGAGTCGTTGTAGGAAGCAACACATTTATTTTATAACTCTAACAGCAACACACTAGGTCCTTAACACGAAGGGGTAATGGCCCCTTCTACCCACAACCTGTGGAGGTACAGCCTCCGGGCTATCGTACCCTAGCCACTGGCCTGACTATTACTCCTATAGCCCTCCGGCTGGCTGGACCTAGGGGAGGCTGACCTACCGCTGGCACCGGTGGGTCTCTGACCACTGGCCCGTCCAGACCCGGCCCTGAGAAGGACGTCGGGCTGAGGGAACCTCAGGGTCCTAGCCTACCGACCACTGGCACCGCACTGAGCCCCGGCCTCTGATGCTGCATTTGCCGAAGTACTGTGACTGCGAATTGCCCGATGATGCTGGATGTATTTACCAGCGAAACGTCGTACTCAAACTGTAAATGTGGATTCACTCTTCAACACACCGGTGGGCTAAAGTAGTGAATTATTTGTCTTTTGTCAACGTGACACTTTTTTTGCTGATTGGCCGTGTCGGGTGGTGGAGGGTTGCGACACATTTATAAATGAACGCGATCTAACCCAAAAACCTTTATTATGAATGATATTGGTCGCGAAAGCCTACGTGTTAAACTGTATTAATTACAATTAACTAATTCATTAATTAAACAAAAACTAAAATAATCACAGATTAATACCTGCAACACATCAGAGGGGTTTCCCCTACAAAGACTTCTCAGCAATCTGGCCTCCCTACGGAGTAAAATGTAAGTCATAACACTGATTAATATTCGGAAAGATCCATAACTTACATATGATGATATAAGTTTTCATTTGAAGACAAATCGTGACAAACTTAGTCTAGAAACGCTTATAAAGCTCTCAAATAACAAGTACAGTTGTTTGAAAGTAAAGTAAGAATATTTCATTATACTGTATTAATATTGTTTCCCATGTTATTGACAGAGCCTCTCCGTTAACAGAAACAATCCTAAGAAGGGGGAGGGGCTACGAACATCCAGATCAAATGGGCTATGAAGGGTCATTGCCCGAAACGTCACCTATATACTTTTTTCTTTAAAAGGCAGTGTTATCGACAAATGTCTTAACTGTTTTGGAAGCGGATGTATCACGAAGCCATGGCCATGGGTGGTACAGCAACTCGGATTAGTACTGTTGGCTATGTACGGTGCGAAAGAAGTTCACAACACACATATACAGCATAACTTCCGATATATGGTACTGACAAATAATATACACCCAGTGCCAGTTCACCTACTCAATAAATAATTGAGTAATGTATGGTTCAATTAATATTCTTCATCGCGAGTAACAGTGAAAGCGGTGTATAATATTTTTATATTTGCTATTGCACTTAAGTTAAGCAAAAGTAAATGGATGAAAGTGAAATGTTACGTTTAATTTATTTTAGATGGGCCTGTCGAAAAATGAATTCCCGGAGAAAACATCAACAGGTTTGTAATGGCGATGCTTCCTAAGAGACATCGACAAATTGTCAAGTTCATTTTACTTTTGTTCACACACGTGGTGCTTTTCTGGCACAAATCTACCACTCAAAGCGCCATTATCACATTAACACTCAACGTAAAATTACTAAATTGTAAACAATGAAAATATATATAATCACATACTATCTACAGTTGTTTAAAATATAATAAACTAGCTGTACTACTCGGCTTCGCCTGGGACTTGGATTCACCACACCCAGCCGCCTTTGTCTCCCCAGTGGCGATGTTAACACACCACACCAGTTACTCGTTTGAGGCGGAGTCGTGAGCGGGAATCGAACTCGGGTCGCCGGGTTCGTAGCGCGGCGCGCTAACCACTACACTACAATGCGTTACGCTTCCACGTGCGCGGGTCACGTGACAGTTTTGACGTCACAGCTCACTTGCCGTGCAAAAAATAAATGCATTATTGAGCTCCCCCCCCCCCCAAAAAAAAGTGTATTTTCATAATTTTTGCTTGGTGTACAGTCTGGAAGGTACTCACATGGCAAATTTCAAGTTTGTTGCATGTCGGGAAGTACGCTAAACATTTTGAACAGACGCACATAATCAAAACTTTGCCTTTTTTATATATATGGAGATAAAATCCAGTTGTGGATGAGGTAGTTGTATGCAAGTGCGACCAGGTGTATTGTTGAGTTGTGACTGTGAATGTAGTGTTGATGGAGTCGTGGCCTCATTGCACCTAGCCTGGCACAGGGGCCACGGTGACGTCAACGTAACTTCGTGGCGAATGGCGGGTATTGTATTGGTATTGATGGAGTCGAGTGTGCGGATTGCTTTGGGGAGGTTGGTCCAGAGGTTGTGGTGCTGCAATTGAGAAGATCTGTCCAACCACGTGGTTTGTGTGTTGCTTGTTGGTGATTGGAGGAGTGTTTGGTTTGAGGAATGATCTGTTGTTTTGCTCGATCTGTTTGAGGTTTCTGATGGAATGTGGAGCTTGGATGTGTATTGTGTTAATGTTAATAAGATGCTTTTGAAGTGTATTCTGAATTTGATTGATAAACAATGTAGGTGTTTTTTGAGTTTGTGTGATGTGGGATTATTCTGGACGATTTTAAGGCATTGTAGTCGTGTTTAAGGTATTCCGCAAATTCGTAAGTTGCTGTAATCTAACCGAGATGTTATGAATGCATGTATGAGAGATGACCTGTTCTTAATGGAGATGTATGGGGCTATCCGTTTGATGTTGTGCAGATGGTAATATGTGGTTTTTGTGATTTCAGATATGTTCTGAGAAATGTAACCTGGTGTCTGTGATTTACAGGCTTGTTGCTGTGTTGGTTGGTTGTATCGGCAAGTGGTCTGCTGTAATATTGATGTTTACCTTGTATGTTTGTTGCGAGTTATGAGGAGTTCATGTTTAATCATGGGTTGCTGAACACAGACCCAATGACCCAAAATACTAAGCGGCCAACAACATGCAGTGCTAGTAACGTAATAGATACGAGTTAAAGCAATACACTTTTTGAATGAAGCAAGGTTATAATAAATTGCCAAAAAGAGACGATGGGAGGGAATTCAAAAGTTCAGAATCCTAATGTGTATTTAGACTAGAGGAGTCTGATGGGCTAAAAGAAAACCTGATAGGAGTGCAAAAATAGAGAAAAACGTGAGCAAGTTACTAAATATAAATAAATACAATTACATGAAGTATATGTCCGATTTTTCAACACTAAATTCAAGCTTAAACAAAGCAGCAAAACAACAACAAAACAGTCCCAGACCACACCAAGACACAGTCGATACACAGGTCACGATCAAAGTTGCAAATGACATTTGCAAATTTGGTTGTATCCAGCAAAAATCTTCTGCTTCAGGATACTTTTTTTTAAAGGAAGATTTACAATTTTGATTGAAAGCTTTCGTGACTGCAGGGATTCATATTCTTGGTTCTGTCGGTAAAGTCACGTAGAAGGGAAACAATAAAATAATAAAAATATAAAGCAATACAATTCTCACGACGTTTCGACTGCAACACAAGCAATCATCATCAGGTGTGAAAACCACAGCAGGAAAATTTGAAAAAGGCTTCTTGCTGTGGTTTTCACACCTGATGATGATTGCTTGTGTTGCAGTCGAAACGTCGTGAGAATTTTACGTTATATTTTTTATCATTGTTTTATTGTTTCCCTTGTATGTGACTTTACCGAAAGAACCAAGAATAAGATTTACAATATTAAGGGAGAAAAAAGGTTCCAAATAGTTGGTGCTGCATCGGCAAAGCCCTTGTCTCCCATTTCAAGTCTTGTTCTTGCGATAGTTAAAAGGCAAGTAGATGGATGTTGTAGGGTTCTTAGGATTGGTAAGGATAATTAATTAGATAAGTTTAGCGCAGATTTGCCAATGAGGATTTTGTGTATGAACAAGGCCCAATGTAGATGTCTTCTTGATTCAAGTGATGTGAGATGTGATTGTAAGGAGAATGCACAATTGTGGGTCCTGTATGGTACATCCAGTGCAAATCGAACAGCAGAATGATAAAGTGGGAATAGTCGCCTTTTGGCGTCATCTGGTCGACCACCATGAGACCAGGCTCTAAGGAAAGCTGTCTCAGGTGTGGACCAATCAATTTCAAGGACAATGCATACATTATCAGTGTGTTTTTTTTGCATTCTGACTGCAGGTATTGTGGTTAATGCAAACATTATTCCTTGTAAAAAGGTTTCTGTTTTGTTGCCAGAAAAAAATGGCTAAAAACGTATTATTATGGGAATATTCTGTTTAATGATTCATTAGTAGCTGGTCTGTAAGCGGTGTCACAGCAGTCAAAAAGTGGTAGAATGGTAGTTTCAACAATTAGCAGGAGCAATTGAACGGGAATACAAAGTTCGTTTCTGAATAAGAACCCTACTTTTTAAAATTAGATTTTCTTTTGAGATGTGATCAATATGAGGTTGGAACGTAGGTTCTGAATATGAGAGAAGAAATAATTGAATTGTTTGGCCTGCAGTGTGGTGAGCAAGTGGGTGAGTGAATTTGTGACTGAGTAGGTGGGCGAGTGTGTTTGCTGTGACCTGCGGTGTGGTGGTTGAACAAAACGGTGTGGTGGATGAGATGAAACATTCAGTGCTGGTCGACCGAGTCCTCATTTGTGTAGTGAGTTCACGGGACACGAAGACGGTGGAGTAGAGGCAGCACTATTTATTCAAAGCTTGGCAGGTTTACACTGAGAAGGGGTAACGGCCCCTTCACCCGTACACACACTGGGACACCCCCTAGGCTATCAAGCCTAACTCCTGTGCTCCCAGTTCCTCCAGCTACAGGCGCTAGAGGAGGCTATCTGACCTGGCCCTGGTCATGGCACAGGTCACGGCACCCCACCAGACAGACCGACCCTTAAAAGGACTTCGGCTCTGAGGCTCTGGGGCCGCACCACCGGCTTGCCCTGCCGGCCCTGCAAAGGGCAGCGGTCAGGGTAGTCCCAGGGTCTATCCTAGCCGGCCTTCCTTCTTCACTGGTTCTTCACTCTTGGCCCCAACACACTGCCCCGAGCTCTCTGGCTATACCCATACACTACTGAGGGCCGGGGCTGTAGCGGACGTGTTTGCGGCCACCGCTACGTGGCCGTGTGTCCCCTTCCCGCAACACCCCTGCATTAGCATGGGTGGAGGAATCACCGAGTGAAGTTCATGGGAACAGTAATCATGGCAGTAACCACAGAAGTTGAGTCTACCAAGTGCAGCGAGTAGGAACTCGGGTGCTGAACTCCAAATAGGAACGACAGTATGCCAGTATGTGTTACAATATAATATATACCCTCTAAATATTACGCTTTCTTTTTAATTTACAGAAACTTATAGACATGGAGGTGAATTAACCTATGAGGTATGTGCTCTTAAAATGTTTTTTTTTTCTGTTACCATAAAGCATTGTACTGTATTTAATATGAAGTACTGTATATACAATTGCTCCTGATTTGAAGCTTTCGTGACTGCAGGAATCCATACTCTTTGGTTCTTTCGGTAAAGTCACCTAGGGCTACACTCATTTCAAACCTTTTAAAACAGTCTGCCTCAGCAGCAGACCCATGCTTTCCCACCTGATGATGGACGCTTGTGTTGCGCCCGAAACGTCGCGATTTATTTAAAAAAAACGTCGTCTGTAGATGTGCAAGCACATCAACGCTGTTTCCCCACATTCCATGCCGAATTATGGGCACGGAACAAAGAACACTTTTATGTGGACTACACAATTCTAAAACACGGGAACGTTAGTTTAACACGTAGGCTTTCGCAACCGATATAATCATCATCAATATAATAATTCGCAGAGTTTTGTCAGTCCACTGTTAAACTAATGCCTTCCAACACCTTGTTCATCTGTGGGGTTGTTTGATCATCCCTCATCACGATGGTCATTGTGGGTTGGTGGGACTGGGGGCCGTCCATAAATGACGTCACGCACCTAGGGGGGGGGGTGGGGTCAGACATTTGTGACGATGTGTGACGAGGGGGGGGGGGGGGTTTGAGAAATGTGACGTCACATCAAAATGCGCAACTTTAAATAAATATAGGCAACACGTTCTACTTAATTAAATAGACTTTTTAATAAATGTTTTCTCCGACAATATCAGAGTGCAGCGCCACATTAATTACGCACTACAATGACAATAGTTTAAAGCGATTTGAAGCATGGTTTATTTTTTTTTGGGGGGGGGGCAGAGCTTTGTGACGTCATATTTGAGGGTCTGACTTTTTGTGACGCCGTGTGACGAGGGGGGGGTGAGGGGAGAAATCGTCCAAAATCGCGTGACGTCATTTATGGACGGCCCCCTGGTTCAGATATCACTCACCACTGAAGTTAGCCGTGGTCACGAACCGAACTCAGGTTGTCAAATTCATAACGCAGTCCACTGTCATGTTCTGTGCAGTGGTCGAAATATGCCGGTGTGCCAGATCACCAAACCTGTGTAATGACAACTTGACACACTTCTCTTGAGATGGAACTTTGTTGAAGACGCGTTCACTTGACATCAGGCGGAGACCCCCACCGCAACAGCCCCGAGTCTCTCGCGCATCTCCCATTAGATACCAACACGAGGCCACGCCCCCCCCTTCTCGAACCTTCTCGCTGACTCTGGACGCTCGCTCCTCCGGCAGACTCCACCGTCCTCTTCCGTCACCTGACCACGCTCCCTTCTCGATCATTCCCATAGCCACCAGTCCCTTCACACTCACAGTTGATACCCCTGTCATTACCTCCCGTGGCCACCAGTCCCTTCACACTCACAGCTGATACCCCTGTCATTACCTCCCGTGGCCACCAGTCCCTTCACACTCACAGCTGATACCCCCATCATTACCTCCCGTGGCCACCAGTCCCTTCACACTCACAGCTGATACCCCTGTCATTACCTCCCTTGGCCATCAGTCCTGTCGCACTCACAGCTGATACCCCCGTCATTACCTCCCGTGGCCACCAGTCCCTTCGCACTCACAGCTGATACCCCTGTCATTACCTCCCGTGGCCACTAGTGCATTCACACCGCATGTAGACTCTACTGTCATTACACGTGTAAACCATTACTCTACAGAATGGTTCATCATTGAATACCACGATGTTTCTCCAGCGGGGAATTGGCAGTGCGTGTGTGTGAGTATGTGTACATGCTTGTCAGTGAACATGAGTTGCAGCACGAACAGGTTTCACATCGGGACTCGTGCATTTACATTTTGACCATGACATATTTTTTTCCCAAGTGAAAAAATGCTCATAACTTGCAGATTTGTTTTGTGATCATTTTAATCAAGCATTTACTCTTTTTTTATAATCATCGCAGGAGGAATTTCGACGCTTAAAAGAAGACAACGAGATATTGAGAAGCATAAAAGCAGGGGAAATATGTGCCATGAGTAAGTATTGCATTTCAGTACATTTTATTTTTAAAGACTTGAAAACAAATTATGTAATGCTTTTTGAATGTACACAATTATCATCATTTAATTGTCACGTTTCCCAAATTGTAGGTCATGAAGATTTAGACTGGCACAAGGGGGTACGTTGGGCAGACTTCTCCTAAAAGGCGAGAGTTCCAAAATACTGTGGATCAGGTACAATGTGATGTGGTTTGTAATGTGTTCATTTTTTTAAAATTGTTTTTCAGTGAAGGCTAGCGCTGAAAAAATTGCAGAAGAATTCACTAACTACGATGAACAAGATAACCCATTCATTAATAGCAATCCAAATGCGCGACGAAGAATTTCTCCTCCGGATATTGAGGCAGGAGGTAATGAGGGTGCCAACACAAACCCAGGAGATGAAGATCAGACAGAACAGCCTGATGGTCAATCCTGTATTCCGTCTATCAAAGATGCAATCTACAAACACCTTTTCACGATATACAACACTTGCAATTTGGCAGCCTTAATGTCATTTGCAGACTATGTGAAGCAAGGCTTTGTCTACTTTACTTGCAATGTTGTGGTGTCTTTTGCAAAACGAGGTGTAACAGCAAGCACTTCACTTTTTAAAAATGTTGCAGAATTCGCAGGCAGTGTATTCAAGACGGTTACAAATGCACTTTGGGATATGATAAAGGGATTTGTGAAAATATCACAAACTGTTTTTAATAAAATGATGAGTGCTCTTTGCGACAAAGATCATTTTCAGCATGCCCACGTGGGATCTATCAGGGCTTAGTTACTTAGTCGATGTCATCTTGATGTGACAAGTCTGCATGGGAAGCATTAAGTCACATTTTAATTTTCATGTCAATTTTCTTACATGTGCACAATCATTTTACGTTTATCTTTTTGTAAAATGTATTATGCATAAACATAATTGCTTTTACAAAATATGTACGAACTTATATAAAAATTGGCAACCATTACAAAATGCATAGACTTATATTCAACCTAAAACACAATACAGGCAGACCTGGAAAATTCCGTGCTGGGCAAAGCCGTATTCGAAAAATAGTAGACCTTATGGGAAAAATAAAGTTGCTTTCCTGGGTCCAAAATGATCACCTCCTTCCTCTTTAACTAATTCTACATGTTTTGATTTTAAGCTTTCATGACTGCAGGGATTCATATTCTTGGTTCTTTCGGCAAAGTCACGTAGAAGGGAAACAATAAAATAACCAAGAATATAATTATACATGATTAACGCTCTTGTTATTGTATTCAAGGATGCTGAGTCAATCTCCGTTCCTTGTGTGTCTGTGTGTGTGTACACTTTTTAGTTTTCAATTTCACTTCAACACAAAACTCCCATCTCCACTCCTTCCCACACCTCTGCACTCATGCCCAATGCTCGCCCCTCACACTGAAGTCCCAGCCCCACGGTTACCCATAACACTTGAACGTGAATGATTTACCGTGTAGGCGTCCACATGAATAACGTCAAATGCTGGACGGCTAGATGCATGCATAATGTGTTAACATTGGCCTCGTGCTGTTGTGTGAGTTGGTGCACCGCGTATAGCTGAAACACGCGTTCAATAGTGGTAGAGCTGCGAAAGGTTTTCCTGTCCTGTAAAGCAGACACAATGGAATGTTGAGTTTAAATAAACACCAACAAGGCTTTGGCCACATCAACAATGGTCGTCATTTAGAGAGACTGGCTACTTGGCTAGGGAAAGTGGAACTTCCATCATTCCACCGCTGGTTCAGGTCTGCCAATGCAGATTACAGCCGCTCCACATTTTCAGTTGGGAGACACGTTGTGTTACACTTAATGGCAACAAGCCTATGGTGCGACTAGAGGCAAATGTTGAGCGCCAAAACAAAAACGAGTAACTCATGTGATCTGCATTTGTCTGGCATGCATTCTGCTCGAGCTCACGGCCACCGTGTTTATGAAGAGAGGCTGAGATGGCCACCGCTTAATTGAATTCATTTTTGTGTTTTGCCCAACCGCCTCCAATACATTTAGTTTTTACTTAGCCCCCCCTCGCCTAAATGAAATGGTGTTCTCATTGCAGAATACATACAAATTCTGACATAACGTCGACGTGGAATTTAGTACTCATCTGAGCTTGTAGCATTCATGAACGTTGTAATAATTTGATGAATAATGTGAACTTATCCTATTTGTAAAACAAAAATTGTACCTAATTTTGCAATATTGACTTGTGATACAACATAAACCCCCCTGAGGCTTTTTTTTGTTGTGACAAAAAAATCTCAAGTTTTACCTCCTGTTATGCTGGCGGCATTATGTTACGAGACGAAAAATCCACTGATATCTTTTGCAGACCAGTGCAATCTGTCACGTGAGGTTACGGCCCACAGAAGCAGATATCAAATAACTGCTCCTGAGATCCCTTCAAGTGACCTCTAAGTTCACTTTTCCACCTTCCCTGCTGTTTGTTGCATGATTCTAGATTTGCATGATGTTTGTTGCGTAGCAGCAAAAACAAGAACGAATTTCAGCCAAATTAACCGCAAAACCAAATTTCTGTTTTGTGGTTTTTATTGTGCTGTCAGTGATGACTCGACACCTTAGAATCCGGTTTAATAATGGGTGTCTACAAATGTGAATACTGCATCACAGTTGTGCTGGCTCAGTGCTTTGCACTCTGAGCCATTTGACTGGCCACCTCCAACTACCATTGATGTACTTAAATAATTTTGCTTATTAATCATTCTGCTTTGATCTCAATGAGTAAAAATGGGACAAGGATGAACCCACGTGTACGTGACAGTTTTCTCGTGTACGCATCCACAGTAAGGGCATAGGTAGTTTTGGAAGAACGTGTTCAGTTTGAGAACATAACTTGCATTGTGTTTGATGAATCGTTTTCAATTTAAGTTGCACTTCTCAGCAAGATTTCAGAATGGATCCTTTGTGTTGGAAAAGAAAACAGTTTTAGCTATAAACCATTGTGCCATCAATGATCTCTACAGGGTTGCTAAACCTCTGGTTTTTAACTAGCTCGTCTGTTTTTAAACTTTGCTGTACAATGTTTGTTCCACGTCTTCAAGCAAACGTGAAAAGTCTATTATTGTGCACATTTGCACTGCATAAGGTGCACACACCGCATTATAGAATGGATATGGGAAAGTTAATTGGTAAAATAAAATTGATTGGTAAAATTGCTTAATGTTATTTTCAAGAAAGAGGGTATGTTACATTTTGATTTAAAGCTTTCGTGACTGCAGTAATTCATATTCTTAGCTCTTTCGGTAAAGTCACGTTGAAGGGAAACAATAAAATAATAAAAAAATATATAAAATGATTATTGTTTTATATATAATATATTTTATTTTATTTATTGTTTCCCTTCAACGTGACTTTACCGAAAGAGCTAAGAATAGGGTATGTTACATTTTAAAATGCAAAATAATGGAATTATTTGAACATTGTACAATGCACCATATATAATTGTTCAATATGTTCACTTTGTAATGGGAACTTACTTTTTGTTTTTAAAGCTTTGGTTTTGACTGTGAAGCATGCTATATATGGATAACGATATATACTGTCCTTAAAATAAATGGAATTTTGGTTGCAGAATTCTCACACACGTGTTTAATTATGTGTATGGATGCAAGCACATATGGAATCCGAAGATAATTTCACTGGTTACATATCAGATATTCGTGACTTTAATAACTCTCCATTCAAATGATTGTCTCAAGTTGGTAATCCAGTGGACTTTTGTCACATTTCTCTGTGCTGCACCGAGGCTTTCGAGCACACCACGAACTTCACAAAGAGGCCCACAATACTGCAACTCCTTTCCACTGGCACATCTGAGCCAAGCCAGCACGGGGCCCTCATGGTACAGGTGGTTTTCCAATGGCTAGCTGCCATGCTGAGATGCAACCAAACGGTATTATTCTGGCCTCGCAAGACATCTGAATCTGCTTCAGGCCAAGCAGGGCCAATTACGGGTTCGTTGCATGGGTTGTCTAATCGGTAGACTGAGGACACAGCATCACAGCGTCATCTTACATGTGTAGTGACACCCGACATGGTAATCTTCGACAATAGGAGTCTTCATTTCCCTGGCACAGAACATGGTCTTCAAGGATTCCCTTTCTCTCCAACTTCCCCTTGACATATGAATCATTTGGCGGGGTCCCGCAAAAATCAGGTCAATAATTATTATTTTTCAGTCCGCCCACAGCAACGCGCCGCCCGCCCAGACTTGCGTCAACAAGCGCCAGCAGCAGGCGGCGATCAACACGATGGGCGCCACCCCACCGGCCAAACGCAAGCCCGGGGGGCGTCCGCCGCAGTCGCGCGCGGCGACGACGCCCTCCGGTCAGCCGTCAATCCTCAGCTTCTTTGCCAAGGCGAGCCCGCCCCCAAGGCAGTGAATTTAACGTGTTCATGTAATTTTTCAACTTTTTACGAAACTTAGTGCCCCGAGTAGCTCTCGACGAGGCCAATCGATTGACACTAGTTTTGTTGTCGGTAAGGCAAGACTCGTGTCGCTACGCGGGTTTTCCCACCCCGGGGCAGTGATTGAGCAAGGCGATACGTATAACGCGTTCAATTGTCGCATTTGCGTTCATTTAGTACCGTAGCGTATTGAAGACGGCAAGGCGCACATAGACTGCCATGCGATAAGAATGCGCGCGTATGCATCGCGGCAGCGTATTTAACGTGCACAGATGTTGCACTTTAATTTAAAGCATTCATATCAACGTTAATAATGTGAACATTTTGCCAGTTGAAAAAAACGGTAGGGCACTTTAATTCAAAATCATGATCACGGTTCTCGCCTTCTCGCTCAGCTGACAGCACTGCCACGTTGCCCTCAGCGCGTCGAAGCAAATGCTAACGCGAATTACTATCATAGCTATGCAATTATGCTACCAACAGCAATTGTGCTAATTATTATGATCATTAATAGTGTAATTGTTGCTCTCGCGCGCTGATATCATAGTTTTTTCATAGTTTTCATTTATTTTGGTATAGCCCTGTGAGCCATTCGGCGCTTGAATCGGGTGCAACCGCAACAAACCAAAAAAAACCTAGAACACGAACAAGAAAAACATCTTAAAGTGACTTTGTGTGCATGTGCAAACAGAAAATCCAGGAGATCCAAGTAAGATCAATCACAGTGGGCTGCTCCGGCGCCATAACGAGCGGCGCCTCCCATTGGTTGAGAGGCCGCCAAGCAACAGCCGCTCTGATTGGACGAGACGTTTGCCCCCGTGGTTGGGCGCGACAATTCGAGATTTCTAAAGGCGGTGACGGGGGGGTGGGGGTAGAACGTTCGATTAATTATTAAACTATTAAAATTTAAGGTATGCAACATTTAAGAATAGGTTTTACCCCTTTATGGCAATAAAACATGTGTTAAGATTCTTAAAACTTTTTGCATGTTCACTACAAGAACTGCGTGTGGTTAATGCAGACATCATTTCCTTGCAAAAGGAATCTATTTGGTGTTTGAACATCTTAACACCTGTTTTATTGCCAAAAAGGGTAGAACCTATTCTTTATTTTTTTACAAGTTAAAAATTTAGTAAAAAAAACACACGAATAGGCCCAGGATCGCCGGGACCTGGACCGTTTTAAAAAATAAATATAATGAAATCTTGAATTGTCACGCGAGTCTGTGTAGAAATTTTCAGTTCGTTCGGCTTCGTCGATCCGAAGATATTAAGCGTCAAAGATTTGAAAAATCTAAACAGACAACCCGGCACGTTCAATAAAAGTGTGTAACAATAAAAGCGTGGCAAAAATAAAAGTGTGGCATAATAAGTGTGTAATAATAAAAGTGCGTAAAAATAAAAGTGTAATAATACAAGTGTGTAAAAATAAGTGTGGAAAAATACAAGTGTGTAATAATAAAAGTGTGTAAAAACTAAAAGTGTGAAATAATAAAAGTGCGTAAATTAAAAAAAAGACGTGTTGTGTTTCCTGAGCCGTGCCGACCGATTTTCACGACATCGTGTAAAGCCAGACACACATTTTAAATAAAAAATACCTCTATAGACAAAGATCCCCCGTGTAGCCTGCAACAGACTGTAGGGGCAAGTGCTGTTAGCGGGTGCTCATTTGAGGCTGAGTCTACCTAAAGGGAGACCCTTCCAGGACCGGTTTAGAAAATTCGTTGAATTTCCAATAAACTCGGGTCGCCGGTAGCGCAGCGCGCTGACCGCTACACTACCGCTCCCCGCTACACCTTCACACACACACACGCACTCGCTTTTCCAGTTGTCATATTCCTACAAGTGGACGTCAAGTAATTACATTACTGTACTTTGTGAATTCCTCTGCTTGGAACGAAGGGTCTCTTCACATTCTAGATTTGAAGCTTTCGTGACTGCAAGGATCCATAACTCTTTGGTTCTATTCAGGTAAAGTCACGTAGGTGGCTTTACCGAAGATGGTTTCAATTTAAGCAATCATTGGAAAGATGTTCTAAATCATACCAAACATTAAACTAATTTTCAATGGTACAGTATATTTATCCATGTATTGATATAGCAAACTTTCACAGCAGCTTATTTCCATTCAAAACAACGTTTGTAAACTCCCCCTCCCCGTTTAGGTGCTCTATCAGCATTTTATGATAATTCCTTTGTCAAAGCGTTTTGTTTCCTCCCACACAGCTTAAAGGACGCGACCTGGTTTGACTTTCTTCATTTCAACGTTGTCCTCGTGACAGTGCCTTCACCTGATGAAGGCCACTTGTGTTGTGGCCGAAACGTCGTGATTTTTGTTTTATTTTATTTTTTACCTACGTGACTTTACCGAATAGAACCGAAGAGTATGGCCTATTCACACTTCACCGCATTGATCAATGCCGGTGGGGCCACGAGTTCAGATATCACCACAACGACATCTCGTGGTCGTGATGAGGATGATGATGTTGCAGTACGTGTGGGGAGGGTGGGGAGGGGCTGGGTGGGGAGAAGAGGGTGGGGCTGGGTGGGGAGGGGCTGGGTGGAGGGTGGGAGGGGTGGGGCTGGGGTGGGGGAGGGGCTGGTCACCCCGTGGTGCCCTTATAAAACTCAACGTTTAACCTACTCACGCCGGCTTGTGCCCGCCCTCACAGCCGGCCATATTGTGCGGAACACACCACGTGGTGGTGCCGTTGTTGACCCTGGCCATTGACCGAGCAACCCGACGTTCCTACCAGCTCCCTCCGCAGGAGAATGTGTAACCGGCCACCAACCGGCGCAGCCAACTAGTAACGGGTTATAGTAATAGATTTTAACCCTTTTACTATATCTTTCTACTGGCAAAGGAGGTCTCATAGTGTAAATCCTTACCCCGAGCTCTCAATACTCTGATAGTGCGCTGTTTTTGAGTTGTGCGCCTTTTTGGCGTCTTCTGGTCCAACACCATGTGAGACTAGGCTCTAAGAAAAGCCGTCTCGGGTGTGGACCAATCAAATTCAAGGACAGTGCCAATATCATTATCAGAGTTGTCTCTTTTTGTTTGCATTTTGACTGCTTGTGTTGTGGTTATTGCAAACATGATCCCTTGTATAAAGGTGTCAGTTTTTGTGCCAGATAAAAGGGTAAAAACCTATTACTGGCAAAGGAGGTCTCATAGTAGTAAGGGGTTGTCACGTAAACAGAACGTGGCCAATTCGTCACGAGTACAGCACACCGCTGTGTTGGAGAGCCAAGCCACAACATTTACATTCTGAGTACGACGTTTCGCCAGTAATGATACTTTTATAGTCACGAGATGTAACTCAAAACAAATATGATGGATATTGGTCGCGAAAGCACTATGTGTTAAACCTGAGTACTGTATGAGGTTCACCGCGAATCAGCGTGCCACCGTTCTTCCATAACATTAATTAAAGTGCTTAATCATATTTTTGGTTCTTTCGGTAAAGTCACGTGGAAGGGAAATAATAAAATAATAAAAAAATTTGTAACGAATTTTTATTGTTTTATTTGTCTTTTTATTACTTTATTATTTCCCTTCTACGTGACTTTACCGAAAGAACCAAGCATATGAATCTCTGCAGTCACGAAAGCTTTAAATTGCTTAATCATCGTAAAATAAGTGGAGCTAAAACCGTAAGGATTTCGAATCGCAAGGATTTATCAAGCCTAACGTAATCGGAAGCGCGAATCGACATTTAGATTCCATTGAATCTATCGTTTTGAATCGATGCGCTTGAATCACGATTTCGATCCAATTGTCAAGAGATGAGGTTGACATTGTTTAGAATCGATTCTGCTTGAATCGCTTTTTCATTTACATCCGATTCCGGAAGTGTCTGCTGGGCGGAGAAGGGCATGGCCAAGGTACGGAGTTGAGCTGTCCCAGAACCCTGCTGCCCCCCCCTTACCAGAACCCTGCTGCCCCCTGCTGCCCTCCCCTACCAGAACCCTGCTGCCCTCCCCTACCAGAACCCTGTTGCCCTCCCCTACCAGAACCCTGTTGCCCTGCCCTACTAGAACCCTGTTGCCCTCCCCTACCAGAACCCTGCTGCCCTCCCCTAACCAGAACCCTGCTGCCCTCCCCTACCAGAACCTTGTTGCCCTGCCCTACTAGAACCCTGTTGCCCTGCCCTACTAGAACCCTGT